GGATTGGAAATAAAATGGTGGAGGCTCAAGAAATGTGGATGAGGAAGGACTTTCCAAATTGTTTTGGCATTCGTTTTGCAGAAGTTGATATAATTGTGAGAGATATGGGACAATTGTATAGACTAATTCCAATCTAAAATAATAATTTCCTACCAATACATGATTTGCGATTTATGTGAACTTTATTGAATCCGCCGTGATTCTTGATGTTGTATAATATAGCTGGCGAGACATCGAAAATGCCGCATCATCAATCGAGGACTTCGAAAACCGCTTCATTTTGCGATGCTGCTGAAGTACCGTTGTACTTTGCAGTGCTGATTTGCTGAAGGATGAATGCGAAATGTCGTATTATCCATTCGAGCAAGTGTGAGAAACAACTTAAGCTTCCGCATGGTGATATTCTTCCTTTGGAGTTTGCAAACTCAGTACATTTTATTCCATACACTATGACACATACTTGTTATGGGAGAGAAGAGTTATTACATGCTTACAAGATTGAGCCAAACTCCAACCCCAGATCACGTCTCAAGTCGTCTGGTCGTATCGTACAATTCGTTAATGCCTAGGCCCCCTCTATATAATCTTCTCGGCCTCCTCGACCAAATCCTCGACCTTGAAAGCCGGATCACCTCTTCCAAACATCTCTAATAGTCGACGTCTATCACTCTTTTCCCCAACCGGACCATAAAACTTCTGCAAACACATAATCAACCATTTCGCTTCATCCACGCTCACACCTCTTCCTTCAACAACCTGACCCTGTAACAACACCAAGCCTTTCTCTTTCTCTAACTCTAAATGATGTGTGATTGTCGTATGCGCTTGACTGTATTCTCCTCTCAATTTGTATTCCGCAAGATGTGTGAACAGGACAGTGACGGTATTCTCAGCTGGGAAAGTCCATTGTAAGAAATGAATTTCAGCACCTTGTCCCTCCTTTGGAAGTGGGAGAATGAAGTGAGGGAATTTCTTGGCGGTCTTCTCAATCGTTTTATATGTATCTAGGGGTATAACTGCGCACAATGACCTGGGATCGCTGGCATGTCGGTATCGCCAGAGTGCCTCGATCTTCTCTTGTGATAAATCGCGGACCTTCTCGAGATCAAGGTACGAGGACAAAGTCTTCAGCCCAGGAGTTGAAGAGGGCGCATTCTCGGCCGGAGTTGGAGGCGGTGGTGGAGGTGCAGGAAAAGGTGACGAAGTAGTCGGGGATGGTGGTGGGGTGGGAGGGGCATTCGTAGGAGTAGGAATAGCAACAGTGGCTTTCTTTTTCAGCTCTTCGATTTTGGATTTGTAGACTTCTTTCAGTTCATTGGCGTCTCGCAGACCTTCCCTAAAAATCTCATAAGCTACAGGCATGGCATCTACTGATTTTCACTTCTTACTCTTTTGCTTTCTGTTCAAGCTTCTCCTTGTACTTTTCCAACACTCTGTCTGATTGCTGAGTGGCCAAGAACCGGACATCATGAACTTGTGCCCATCTTTTTTGCGAAGCTCGCAGATAAGGGGGCGCACCCGAGATGATGCGACGGATTGCCGGAGAACGAATGATTGCCATGTTTTGTCGAGTAACAATCAATATATTGACCAATTTCACAAATCAGAAGGTTCACAAAATATCAATTGTGGTTGGGTTTGTAAAGATAAATTATGACGCGGCCGCACCACCGAGATTCCGATTTACTGCCCGACCTCTATCGTAGCCGACCCCGGATTTCGGGATTTCTCATACTATCCAATCCCGATGTGAACACAAAAAGAAATGAAAATGATGAAAAGCAAATCAATTATCTCGAGATAGACATTTGAATCATCTCGAGATATTTGAATCATGCAATATTTCCGACAGAGGAAAAGTCTACAAGTTTCAATATTTATATGCATCTAGTCCCACTCTACAACTTCGCCTTTTCCCCTTCCTTCGATGCCTGATCCTTCAAGAGTCTCCTCAAAATCTTTCCACTGGGACTCTTGGGAATCACGTCCACAAATTTAACTCCGCCCCTTAACCTCTTATGACTTGCGACCTTCGCTTGCAACCATGCCATGATCTTCTTTTCCTCTTCTTTATCGCCCGCTATTCCTTTCTTTGGGACAACATAAGCTCTTGGTACTTCTGTTGCTTGTTCTTCATTGTAGATACCGATCACTGCAACATCGTCTATATCTTCGTGAGAGATGAGGAGACCTTCTAACTCTGCCGGTGGTACTTGGAAACCTTTGTACTTGATCAATTCCTTGACTCGATCAGTGATGTAAAAATTGCCATCTTTATCCTGATGTCCCACATCTCCAGTTTTGAAATATCCATCCTCTGTTAACGCGTTCTTAGTACCCTCGGGATTCTTCAAATAACCTTTGAAAACATTGGGCCCCTTAATCCAGAGCTCACCAGTCTGTCCTGCCGGAACCTCTTTTTCTTCGGCATTCATATACTTTGCTACTTGATTTGATAGTAGACGTCCGACAGAACCTGGATATTTATTCCAATCTTCCCAAGGCTGAAGATGAGTGGTAGGACTTGTTTCGCTAAGACCATAACCTTGCTTGATTGGTATCTTGAGACGAGCATATACAGCATCAACAAGTTCTCGTGTCAATGGCGCCGCCCCTGAGCTCATCATCCTAACAGATGATAGATCATATTTAGAAACTACTGGGCTCTTTCCAAGCATGAGAACAATAGGGGGAACCACGTAAGCAAATGTAACTCCAAAGTTCTGTATCGTTTGACAAAATTTATCCAACTCGAACTTCTCCATCACAATGCACTCCAAACCCATATAGAGAGAGAAGTGAATAATGCATGTCAAGCCCTGAAATTAGTTAGCAAAACCGGCACCCTTGCAGCACCTAGCGAAGAGACTTACATAGATGTGGAAAAAGGGGAGAACGGCCATGAGTTTGTCGCCTTTGCCATCCTTTCCGCCTTTCCAACTTAGATTGCCCTTCTCAACTGCGTTTGCCATGGAGGTATTCGCAACAATGTTTCCGTGCGTAAGCATAACTCCTTTCGGGTGACCAGTCGTCCCACTACTATAAACCAAAAATGCTAGATCCTCTGGTTTACTCTTTGTCCTCCTATATCTTGATGTGCCAGCCAAATTTCGCACGTTCGTAAAGTGCTTAAAGCGGTGCGTATCATCCCTTCCATCACCCACCAAAATAATCCTATCTTCGGGTATACCAGCATTTTTAGCTGCTGCTTGTGCTTCTTTCAGAAAAGGTTTCTGTGTAACAATCCCTTTCGCCCCGGAATCCTTCAATTGAAAGGTCAATTCCTCGACAGTGTATCCGGGATTCGCAGGAGAGACTATTCCGCCGGCCCAATGGGTTCCCCATAAGATAGCAGGAGTGTCGATACAATTTGGTGTGTAAAGTGCAAGTACATCGCCCTTCTTCCATTCCCAAACAGCTTTTAGACCTTTTCCAAACTCTATCGCAGTATCTCGCAGTTGCTTGTAGTTGTATGACCGTGACGTCTCGGCATCAGTGTAAATTGCTGGAAAAGCAAAGAGTCAGTCATTGATCTATGAAGGCTCATTTCATAGAAATGATAATCAACACTGCAGAATTTGATCGGTACCTTTATCATCTGGATATTCTCTATCTTTCCGTTCGAAAAGAAACTCCCAGAGATCCACCTGTGGGATATCTAATAGGGGATATGTTGATGCGGTAGGCATATTTTGTTTGTATTTATATTATCGGTTTGTCTGCAGGTTACCAATTGTAAGAAACGAGAAAGTAACAAACTATTATAGAGGTCTCTATGGAACAAAATGGCTATGTAGAAATCAAAGCACAGCGGAGGAAAGTAAGGGAAACTCACCTCCCTAAATACGTTACTGATCAGTAATCTGGTTGGCTGGAGATATGCGGTGTTAGGATTGCCTTATCCATCACAACGCCTTTGTGGAGAAGGGACCACAGAACTTTCTGCAAAGCCGAAACACCGAGGTAACATTGACACTCAGACACTTTACCCCAGATCTTGGCTTGTCTCAAGCTCGGTTAAAGTCACGAGTTTTCGGATATCATCGACTTACTGCTCTCAGCTGCTCAAGTAGCTCGCTCACTGGTGGCTGTCCTGATCTGATTACTAAACATGACCTCGGGACTAAAAAAGCTTCCCCTATTTCAATCGGACATCAACCGTTCAAATTGAGTCTTCCTTTTATAGACAATCCAACAGAACACCCCATGCATCCGCAAATTCGGATTGTTCTGGAGAGCATCCGGAGAGCCTGCTATTGTACATTAAATGTTATTCTACTCTTGTGCTCAGCGTTTTCACTTTTAGAAGTGTTCTAGCAGTACATAAAAAGCAGGGAGGTCAATGCTAACAAGCTTGTATTGGGCTCGGTAGAGTAGCTCAGCATTCCAGAAAGCTAGGCGAGTTTGAAGATGACTAGCAGGTAGGTACCTCCCTATAAATGGGTTCTTGATCCAACAAATGGAGAAAATCTCTGAAAGATGATGCCGAATTATCGAATCGGAACTATTCATACATATGTTTCTCAACAAACGGGGAAGCGCTGGTCGAGCTTCGGCACATCATCCTTTTCATCATACGAAGACGTTGAGATGTAGCAAGATTCATCCTGAAAAGCAAGGGTATTTGATTGAATTACTCAAATGAAGTCGAAATAAGACGTCTTGTCTACATGAAAATCATCCATCATTGAAGCCAGTGATCTCTTGATATCTACTTCATCACAAATCCACCCCATCCACGTATGTCCTCAGGCTGGCCAAAGAAATATGCCAAACGCATATTCAACGTTTATGCATCGTCCGTAAGATTGTTGAAGAAAACAAATGTCGGTCATGTGAGGAAAAAGCGTCGAAATACATCTCCTGTCGACATCTCGAGTTTGCCTGGGAGTACTTTAATTAGTGGGTATTATAGATTGAAAAGGATGGGTGATATGATCCTACCTTTTGTATTATCTTTGCTCTTGCCTTCCAGGAATGTACACCAAGGCCTCTTTTAATCATTGCTCAAGTTGATCAAGTTTATCCTGGATCTTCAGAATTTCGCCCTGCAAGTCATCTTTCTCCTTTTGTGCCTGCGTCTTCCAATCTAGCATCTTATTTTGATGATCAAGTCGCTCTTGGGTGAGCTTCTCATCCACCTTTCCCTCAAGATCATCCACTTTCATCTCCATTTTATTGATCTCGATCTTCATGTCCTTCATCTGAATCTTCATATCAATTTTGTCCACTTCTTCAACAATTTCCTTTAATTTGATCTTTAACTGATTCCGCTGAAATATTGACAACACCACGTGTATAATTCTGATCCACAGGTAAATGTCGTACAAAGCCGCGCATAATAGTGCAAGTAAGAAAATTGTAACGTAGTAAATCATAAGGCGGTCGTTGCTGCAGTCATCAAAGTTCTTACTTCCGGAATCATTCAGCGTATTACGACTGAGAGTCTTGGGGAGCTGGCCCTCGAAAGAGATATTCGGAGCCATTTGTTGAGTTGCCAAATTCGTGAAGATGTTATCAAAAGTCGATGTGCTGATTTTCGTGACGTTGATGAGGTTTCTCTGGTCCATGTTGCTCTTGGTATTGTGTTAAGAATTTCTGCAGCTTGATTGTTCTTGTTGCAGATGTTGCAGATGTTGTGGATTTCCTTTTGTAAAGCCTTTGAGGCCACAGTTCACAAGAAGATTTTGAAACACGTTAGCTGAGTTAGCTGTATGGTGTAAGGTTCGTTGATAGCTATTAAATTAGAATTCACTTTCCTGGTTGAATTTAGGTTATTCGATCGGATTCTATGAACACGCATGCTTGAATCTCAGCTTCATGAACATTCTTGAAGAAGATTCTTATCATGGCTTCAAAGATATTACTCTGACCCATCTAAGAAACCCAAGTGAAAATTCCTTGCATTCGTCTTATCACATTGATTTAAATTCTACCAGTTACTGTTTCATTGCGAATATTCTCACTAAGTACTTCAATCTGGCCATTTTACGATCACAAGCACTAAATCAAGAAAAAAGAACTTGATTGAAAGAGTCCCTCATGATATTTTTCAGTTCTCAAAACAAAGTGTAGATAAAGCTAAAGATTTTGAATGAAATGATAACGGACTGGCATGGCAGCCTACGCAAGTTCAAAAATATCCAACTCCCAAATCTATCCTGATGGCTTGTCAGTCGATGTCGTAGCAAGATAGAGATAAACAAAAATTTCATACTTTCGAGTTTCCAACGTTCGTAATTCTACCCTTCTTTCTCCCTTCTCGCGCCTGTATCATCCATCAGACCAACAAGTTTGCATTCATCCCCATGCTGTACCTCCCTGGCACCAAAGCTTCCATCATCATCTCCATCTCTTGATCCTCCACTTTTATCAGAGTCTTCCCTAACCCTCGCACTTCCACTGGTTCATTCTCAACATTGTGCTTCCTCCAACCATACCAGTATACATTGACACCATTGTATAGAACCATCATACCAGAAAGTATTCTCTGTTCCGGCGTCTGCGAATCGATAAATTTCAATGAGGAGTCGATTGTAAAGAGGATGTGTCGGAGGAATTTGGTCGAAGATTGCTCGTTGTCAGAAATCGTGGGGTGTGTCATGCTGTATGCTGGATTTGTAAACTCCATGTACACATAGAGAAAGAGAGAGCAAGCGTTGACAGCGGGATACAGCACCGGAGAATTTATATCGAGAAGGAATACAAATATGGAAAAGAAGATCTTGAGAGAAAGCTTTATTGGATGGGACGAGTTCGTTTCGACTATAAGTCCAGTCTGGTTATTGTCTGAGAAATTCGAGATGTCCATGGTAACTGGTTCATGCAGTGAATCGCCGCGAGATATGATTTCAAAGAGGAGCTTTCGGTACTGAGGTACAACCGTTGATAGCACTATCAAGGAGTTTGTTGTGATATTTTCCGTACCTTGGTAAGAACCGCTTCAGACATTTGATATTTTTGGGAATGTGTAATGATATTGCAAATTCGTTGCAAATGGTTTTGTCAAATTTCATAAAATTCCATAGAGTTCGGTGACCAAATAAGTGCGGCAGAAACATCTCGAATTCACTAACAGTGCAACCAATCATCGTTTGAGTATTGATCATTAAAAGGCTCTTGATTTCCAGATTTTTCGAGCTTTAAACAATTCACAGAACTTAACAGCAGCAGAGCGAACTGAACCAGATTCTTGATACGTCCAAAGGCAACTGCATAGAACTTTTGAAGCCCCCAATGTAGCCAAAACTGAGTACACTTCACGTAGTTTTGAGACAACTTAAGTCTGAGCGTATACAGTTTACAATATGATTGTACCATATCCAACAATGAGTGAACTAACACCTCAAAGAGATATACGCATACGCTCTTGACTTTCCGCCTAAAGTACCACTGGTGTACCATTCTCAAACTTTTGAGTCAGTATAAGCACTGGATTTTCTTCTCCTCTCCATCCAAACATCATGACTAAACTCGCCAATATCATCTCAATGGCAATAATTGATTACTGCCCAAACTACCCAGATGAATAAGACACTTGGATATCTAGGTATTTAGAGTAAGGTTGACATCCAAGAAATCTATATCCACGAGAAGCATACGCTCGCTGTGTACCACACATAATAAATTCATCGTTATTGCGACAGATGGTCTCAAGGATATCATCTCAATGACCATAAGACGATACCATCCAAAAAGTCAGATAAGCAATCACTGATTCTACTCTCCAAAAATCGTCCTTCTTGAAGACTTTACCCCTCGCTTAACCCCTCGCGAATAGGGTTCGACTACCCAACAGTATACCCAATTTCATAACTAGCTTCCAAAACGTGACTTTTTTTGATCTAATCAATTTTTTGCTAAATCCTATATGAAAATAATTCAATTGCTTTTAATTCAATCAATATAATTCCAAATTGAAAAAACTTTATATAAAAATATAGATTTCAATTGATAGAATTAATAAATAAAATATAAATAATTTCGATCGAAATTTTATTGAATTGAAAATGATTGAATGAAAAATCAATTTTCGAAAATTCAAAAGCTTAAAAACTATATAAAAACTTATTATTTTATTCAATTATTTTTAATTTAATAAAATTTCGATCGAAATTATTTATATTTTATTTATTGATTTTATCAATTGAGATTTATATTTCTATATAGAGTTTTTTCAATTTGGAATTGTATTGATCGAATTGAATTTTCAATTTCAAAAATTCGATTAAATAATATTGAAAAAAGTGCTTTTTTTCTTTGGAAGCTAGTTATGAAATTGAGTGTACACAAAGTAAAGACCTTCAAGAAGCTGGAGCCTGCTGACAATACAATGTGATGACTTCATATTGCATATCAACAGTACACCACCCCAAAAACTACTAAACATATCTTGTGCTGATATCACACATCTGAACAATTCCAAACCCACTTCTTCGGAAACAGCATCCGGAAACCCTCCAACAATCATTCAGAGTATTTTGGCTTATCATAGCAATGCATTTAGACACAGCCTCGACAGCCTACAATTTTGCGAGGAAGAACATAAATTTTTAAATGCCTCATATCAGCACTAGTGGAAGGCATTTTAGCGAGTACGAGAAAGATCAACGGAGTTGCCTGCTCAGACAATGTCACCCCCTCGTACAAATAATAATTTCAGAATTTTTCTAACATTTTATTCGTAATTCGACACCTTATATATAGCTATTTTCACATTCAATTGATCAATGGAATTAGGTATCTATCATTTTTAGTAGTCGAGATGTGTATCCGTTCAAAAGCTTAATTCAAGAGAAAATCAAACTAGTATCAAGATTCAAGCCCCTTTCAAGGCCGACGGATCCTCTGATATCTTCCGGCGGGATGATTCCGGTAGCTGCATAAATTGTTCAGTCGAAAAAGTGGAACTTCTCATCACCAATACGACAAGCTAGAAAAGTGGATCAAATTCAGCAATCTTCCCAGAACATGTGAGGAAAAATGCTAGACTTTTAGAAAAACACGACATGTTGCAAGGATCACATAACTAAGCATCTCGGCGAACTGCCTATCTTGGCAGGTGTTGAGAATTCTGCGGTGGTGTCGCCAATGGGGTAGAAGGAGAATGGAGTTACGTTGGATAACTGGACCTACCACCTAATAACCAAATCTGCGGTATGCAGAGGACCAAAACACTGCCTATTCTGCCCCGCTTGTGTCCTTGTCCATAGCTCAATTATATCTTACGTACCGCACTAAATGTCAGCAAGCACAGTTAGATTTTTGTAAATGTTGGTTCTCACGATGTAGTATTATCGGCGCAGTATATTAAGAGATTGGATGGTTCATCAGCGAGAAATTCGATAATTATCAATGATAACCACCACTTACGACCCAAACTGTCGGGTGTAAGATAGATTAGCTAATGTTCTTCTCGTGTTGTATATAGGCAGACCATGACTGCCTCTATGTACTTGGAGCATCCAATGCGCCTCCTCCTCCTCTTTGGTCTCAAAATGAGCAAAATCCACCAGCTCTAACAGTCTCGAAATCACCCATTAGAAAGTATCTACCCGCATCTCCTATAGCCACCACATTATCCAACAATGGTTCTTCGCTACCCAATGCGCTCACGAAGATACAAGTTTCTCAAAGCCACAATATGTCTCATCCTCACCTTCCTCCTCGCAACTAGAATCCCTCTTCCCAATTTCCCAAAACGTCGCTTCGATACCTGGGTCTGGGATCGCAGCTGTCACAAACTATCCCCCTTCAGCAAAGCATGTACGGCCTCGCGAGCCTCCATCGCATCAGATGTGCAAATAGTGATTGAAACCGGCGGCTCGGAACCCCAAAGTAGACTGCAGTACCAACTTGCGACTCTGATGTCTGAGGTTCCTCGTCAGAATATTTTGATCTTTTCGGATTTGGAAGAAGAGGTTGGTTCTTTTCATGTTCTTGATGCGCTAGCGGATATCTCGATACGCGAACGAATGGAGTATCCTGAATTTGCATTTTACGATGAATTGCAGAGGTATCAACAGCTGGGGAAAGATACCAGGGAGCTCAAAGGCGGATGGAAATTGGCCAAGTATAAGAATATGGCTATAAAGCGAAAGATCTGGAAGATGCTGGGAGAGACTGGCACTGCTCTTCCAAGAAGAAAATGGTATGTATTCATCGACACAGACACTTTTGTGGAATGGGATAATCTCCTTGCGTTATTGGAGAATTTAGACCCCCAGAAGAAATTATACATAGGAAGTCCCGTCTGGGCTGATCCTAAAGCACCATTTGCTCATGGCGGTAGTGCATATGCTCTCTCGTATAGTGCCTTGGAGTCACTTAATATGCATGACATAGATGGCGATAGAGAACCAATGTACAGTCAATTCGGCGTGAACACAACAGCCTTGTGTTGTGGTGATGAAGCTCTTGCGAAAGCACTAAAGGAGATAGGTATCAGGCTTAAAGGCTATTGGCCAATGTTTAATGGAGAGGTACCGTCAACTCTTGGTTTTGGGAGCGAAATCTGGTGTGAGCCTGTACTGTCGTTACATCACCTCGCTGGGACAGACATGGAAGACTTGTGGTTATGGATCGAAAATTGGAAAGCCCGCACAATGAGCATGGTATATAAATTTTTATTTTACCCCCTCATACCCCAGATAAATAAGGAGAATAAAATACATTATGAACTCAGGAAGTCTCCACTCATACATGAAATACCTCTTAAAAACATATTTCCACCACCCCATTTAAAGTCCATTCCTGCTAAATATATTCACATAGCAACCATTCCTCTTCAAAGACCTATTTGAATACATCGCTCCCCAATTAGTCCCTCAAATGAACGATTGGGAAAACACAGACGAAGGCTGGAAAATCTATCACAACAAAGGCACTCCGGTATCCTTCTCACAATGCAAAGCAGCCTGTGTCACAGACAAACTATGTTTCCAATTCGTTTCTCACGGCGATACCTGCGCACTATCCCACACAATCCGAATTGGCGGGAAGCGATTACCCAAGAACGAAGATGATCAGAAGTATATCTCCGGATGGAATTTGGAGAGAATAAGAGAATGGACCTCGAAAACGAAGTGTACTAGTGCGCATTGGTTGCATTCGAATCCTTGAGTGGATGTGTCAAGATACAAAATGCTGGGTAGATGGTCATGGGTAACAATTTCAACGGCCATTGGCCAAGTAGATTTGATACTCCAAATCCCAAATTGGGTGTGTAAGATACACAACTCCTCTCCTCTCCTTTTACCAACCAAAGAAGAGGACCAGGATCTAAACGAGAAGGATGAGGGAGCTTATCAGAAAAGAGAAAGCCCCAAGGAGATATTTGAAAAAAGGGGGGGGGGGGAGGGAATGAGGGACTACAATCTACACATTCGAAAAAAAAGCCTGAGGATTGAAAGCTGCGGCAATCAAACTTTACAGTACCTATCTAGGTATCTCCAAAAACATCGCCAATCTCCCGACTAATAATAGACAAAATCCTCGTTGTACATCACATCAATGTCACAATAAAATCATCAGGAATCAAATGAATCGGATGAATCGGACAACTCGCCAGGAGACAATATGGGGATTTAGACTTTAGAGTATAGTAGAGAAGGGCAGAGCAGAACGAGTAGAGATAACGCATATCAAGCCCGCTTCCTTCTCGTAAATCTAGATTCCAAGTCTAGATATACACATCATCGCATTCATCACTGCATTCATACCCCAAACCCCTCATTCTCTATTCCTCTCCCTCACAAACCTTCCTCCCACCTCGCCCATATCCTCACCCAGATCAATACTCTCAAACCTACCTCCCCCTACTCAACTCAAATCGACCCCCCTTTTTCTTGAGCGTGATACCCCCTCCCATATTAAAAAAGAGCATAAATCTCAATTTTTCAACCATCGAGCATCAACCATCGAGCATCAACCATCAACACTCCTCCTCCGTTTCCACTTCCAGATTCCATCCCAAACACAACCCACCATCAAGCCTCCTTTAATCCATCGAACCTCAGCCGTATCATCCTAAAAATCTTATCTCCAACCAATGCGCCTTCTAAAGCCCGATATACAGGCCCCTGACCATCATCTTTGTTAATATCGATCAAAATCCTGCAAACTGACTGCCGAAAATGACCCATGAAAACATCCACCAGTACACTCCAAAGCATTCCTCATTTCATATCATATCGCACACCTCACACCTCAATTACCAGCCATCAAACTCCAAACTTAACAAAATCATCACCACACACAACATAATCTCACTCGATTCCCATCCCATCACCTCACAACACCTCACAACACCACAGCACCAAAATCACCCCTCAATATCCAAACAACAAACTCCATTCCTTAATTACTAAAACCTCCGTTCTCTGAGCCCCCAAGAATCTCCCTCTCCCAAGAAAAACCGGCGCCAAACCCAGACATACAGATCTCAGAATTCATCCGGAAAAGGCCTTATTCCAAATTACTAATCGCAATCCGTTACTCCCAGATCCCAAGGAAATTCCCAAAAGATGCCAATTCTCATATTCTCTGATACTAACCAGACTTCAACTTCATCTCGAAACCTCATTTGCTGTTCGAAAGTTTTTCATTCCCACCCACCCCTTCATCCGTCGACCATCTACATCTGGGTATCTACGTCTAGATTCGAATCCGGCGTTTTTCGACTAAGTCGAAAAAGGTGCCTTCATCCCGACCCCCATCCCCATCCCCATCTTCTTCTTTTTATTCATAGTCACCGGCAAGGGTAAAAAGAAGAAGGAAGAAAAAACTTGCAATGAGCAGATTGCCAAGAAAGTTGTACTGTACTCGTCAGTACAGTACTTTCCCAGTGCATGTTGTATAGAAGTAAACCAGAAGTAATTAAATTACCTCTGGCCACCCCTACTTCGAGCGAATCTGCTCATTCGTAAAATGTTTCTATCTAGCTAGATCATTTTATAATAGTGACTGCAGATTGGCCAGGAAAATGTGCACCTATGGGCACAGCACTAACCTAATTCGTCTTGAGATAGAAGTACACTAGAAGCAGTCAGATTACCTCTAGCCTCCCCCTATTTCAAGAGACTCTGATCAATTTGAAAAATGCCTCTCTATCCCTAAAATCATCATAGTCACACCACCTGACGATAGTGACTGTAGATTAACCAGAGAGATAGATTGGGTGAAAAACTTTGTACTTGTTGGCACAGCGGTATACTAATTCTTTCTTGAATAGTACTCTCGTGGTTGTTTAAATCTGCCCCCCCCCCCCCCCCCCCCCCTTTCCCCACCCCTCATTGGCTTTAATCTAACTTTTTTTGATCCTTATTTTACTATTTTTTTGTGCTTTGTTAATTATAGAAGCAAAAAAGTGTCTCATAAACACACGCAACCCCCCAACAACCAAAGTCACATTCCATCGCATTACACGATCGTGACTATCATCAAGAACATGACACCAGTCCTCGAAAGAATTTCTACAAGTTGTCTATTGTGATACATAAGATCTAGTGACATCTTGCCCGTCTGAGTTCATCCTCTATGTGAGCGGGAAATCGGTCAGATCCAATTTCTCGCCCATATAAAGTATGAACCACAGCTAATTAGTGGAAGGTCATCACCCAATAGACAAACTATTCGCGGAAATTTACAACATTTCTGTCAACATTCATACTGGCATCGTTTATTCCCCACGAAAGGTAATGATGGGTTCGCATTCACCACCAAAGCACCGGTATCTGGTGCATTCAAAAGTGTGACTTTCACAACCCCTCCTTAAGAAGCACCAATGAATCCTTTGGTTGCGCCAATGAATATGTAATTACATGGATCTGCAGCGGTGAAGTTCGAAAAATTTGACTAATCCGTGGCAGGCGTGACCATGCCTCTTCACTGATCTCCTTAGTAGTGTTGCTACGGTGGAAGAAAATGTGTTGTAGACTGATGCGAATTCAGGCAACTCACTTCCAACCAGGTAGCTTAATCTTCTGGGGCCTAGCCCCCAACGCTGGCTCCGGAGCAAAGTTGACTCACCATCCTGGTGAGTCGCTTACTATCACGCTTATCTCCTTCAGAAAAGATTCCACTACGTAAGGTTACAGGCGCTTACGGTCGCCGGGGTCCGAGACTCTAACGTCCGCCTAGCGCCCGTCAGGCTATTCAGACAGACTCTGAATGCCCTGTTCACTGCTATTCTCATGCATTGTACAACATCGAATGACTTGGGCCTTTTAACGTCATACCCAGGACAAAACAACACAGTATAAATTCCAAACAGCGTAGCCCTTTTAACGTCATACCCAGGACGAAATCAAATGGCACACTCCGCGACTTTCAAAAAGAGTAGAGTGTGGAAAGATTAGGCTCTCACTCTCATAAATGAAGTCGTAGGCTGAAAGATTGCGTGCGCGATTTTCCATCCTCTAAATGCAGCGAGGTTTTGTGAAGGTGTTGGTATTACTCATTTGACGTGGCCTTTTGGAATAATCCGAGAATTCGTGCTCAATCGGTAAGATTTTCAAAGTTCAGCCAAAGAATTCTCCGCCTACCAATGTCTCCCATGGTTTCCCAGACTCCCAGACCTGCTCCATCAATCTCCGTGCTTTATGTGCTTGTGTCATTCCGTACCTCTCAACCCTGTTCATTCGTTCGAGGATATCTGATCTTTGTTTGTCATCCCATATATCACATCCAGCTGTGAACATGGGAAATAACAAGCATGCTTCGGCGCTACTTCCTTTCCTAATCTTGTTGAAGGAGCCAAGTATCTCACCAACGGCATGCTGAACATCCTCATGTGCTGAGGGTTTTCCCAGTATCCTGCGATGTAGATGAACTAGTCCAGCAGAATGAAAAGCCTCATTGGTTGCAGCGACCTCAAGACTATCCCAACCATATTCTGCTTCAGACTTAGATTGCATATGAGTGCAAGGTTTCGCCGGGTGACGCCGCGACTCGATAAGATCTGCTTCTAGTTTGTGAGCGCGAATCACAACTTCATCGGATGGTTGCCAATCTTGTTTAATCGTTGAATCAGGATTAATGCGACGCTCGTCACATTGACGCGCAAGATTAGCAACTTTGGCAAGTATTCGGATGCAATGACTAGTGAAACCTAGAATACAGTCAATCTGGTAACCATCCTCTTCATCTTCTGCTTCATAATCCAACATCCAGGCGGACGAAAGGTTCTGTCCTCCACTCATACTGCCAAGGACATCCAAATATGCAAACCAACTCCATAGAAAAGACGAGACTTTATCTTTCCGAGACATAGTTTGCATACGATGGGCTCCACCTCTGGCAACGAGCATTTGTCTTGCAAACTCGAGGTGTTTCTGCCATGGAACGGCAACTCCAAAGACCTTTGGGGATATTATCTCCAAAGATGCGAGCATGATTACCGTGGCAAGGTTAACATTTGATGTAATCTTATTTGGATCATCGAGTGCGTGCCTAAGGTTAGGAAAGATGTCTTTGACCCATAAAGCTATACGAGTCGCAGGTTCCGGTTGTCTTAGGAGTCTGGCTCGATGTGTGGCAGAGTACGCAAGTAGAAGATGTAACAAATCATCATCTCGAACCGCCATCTGCGGCAGAATACTTCGGAATGGATTAGAAGAACAATTGTGTGGTATCAGACAGCCTGCTGTATGATCTAGAAAATGATGCTAGGACAGGTTAGTTGTACAGCTCAAAGCCAGTACGCGAAAAGAAGGCTTACAAAATACTGTTATTCAGTTAGCGGTGAATTAAGATTGATAATGAGAATACTCACAAGTAGATTCATAGGATTTTCCAGTAGTTTCGCAGGCAGTGGTTGAAGTACACGAGGTATACATATCGAAACCGGTTTATCATAATATCCAACTTCAAGGGCTGTCTCATTGATTTCCATACCGAAGCCAAATTCAATTGGCGATAACTCCCCTCCATTATCTGAATCAAAGTCCTGGTGAATTCCCGATAGCTTGGGAGACGATTCTGATATTGCATTAATGTCATCATTCTTACCAATGTCTAAGTCTACCAATCCTCGATCAATTCCCCATGTTTCTGTATCCTGGTATACATCATGCATGTACGGTGTCCAGTCCTGACTTTGGTAATCCCACCCTCTCCCATTGCTGGGCTGTTCAGAGGGCGTCCCATCAAGCGGTCCCGACAACAGTGAATTTACCGAGAGTCTGCGTGAGAATTCACGACTCGGCCTAGCTTGGTTCTTATCAATATCCACCCCGCGTATCAATTCAGGTTCTACCTCGGATGTATGAATGGTTGTATTTCGAGAGTCGTAGTTGGGATCCGAATTGGATACTAAAGGAGGAAGCATTCGTGCACTATGGAGTGAACTGTCGTATCGCGTGCGTTTAGCAGGTCGATCTGCTATAGAGCTTTCAGTTGCTGGCGTTCCATGACCACTTCCGAGATATGGAGGAGTTGACAATGGACTTTCGGTACCCGGGAGTGCGCTTCTGTTTGAAATTGGACTTCCAGATTCATCTGCAACTTGAAGGTGGCCAATTTTAAAAAGGCTAGGTGACTGAGCTGAGAGTGGAGTGATGGGGGCACTGGATTGATACCGTTCGAAGCTTTGAGGATAGTGTTGGTTTTGGCAACCGTAATCTTTGCGCAATGTATCTTGGAAAGTTACAATGGGTGGATATGCTGGTCGGGTCAAGGCGGGATCAATCATCGATGTATCGGCCATACGTTCCACAGATGCCCCATCGTCGCGACTTGAATGCTCATCACGATGCGCAGATACTGCGGGGGAAGAGCGGAAGCTTGTATATGACCCCGAAGCCGAAGGGTTATTACTTGCATTTGGATTTGTTTGGTTCGAGGTCAAGAAGGTACTCTGCCCAGTAGTAATGGCATCACTTTGAGCCCTTTTCTTGCCTCGGCCCTCCCAATTCAATCGTATACTGTAATCGCAGACTTCGTTCAGTTTCGAACAATTCACACAAGTTGGACGAGTTTCGTCGCATTTGACTTTGCGAGCTTTGCAGGGCCTATGAGTGGTATTTATATTCAGTTCCAAAATCTATGAATCATCGTTACCATTAGCGTACCAACATCCATTTCTACTCCTTCTCTTAGGTTCTGGTGCTCCCACTTTCTTTGGGCGTGGCATGATGAGGATGAACGAATAGTCTGTAAACGAATGACAATACCGGTTTCCGACATTGACTTAAGTTGGTGGTAGTGTCTGATTTGTCGCGGATTTTTGCCATAAGTAGAATTGGATTTGGATTTCGATTTGGTAGATAGCACTATTGAATTTGTCTGTATCAACATACTAACGATCAAAATAAGGGAAAGAAGTCGTCCCAAGGAAAGACGATCAATATGGACGGATGGAATTTGAGGAGGATTCTGGATTTCCAAGGAAGGACAGGATTCATAAACGTTTAAGTTGAAGTCTATCTAGGTAGTCAAGTGTCTAAGTGCACTTTGCAATTGAAAATTGGTAATAAAGCCTTGGACAAGTGAGGGATGGATACGATGAATGGGTAAGATGGGAAGATATCTGTGGAGAAGATGTGGAAAGGTGGGGAGAAAATGAGAAGCTCGACATATTTCCGATTAGATAATAGATATGATATACTTTTGCCAATACGCCCTAATGCTGATAAGACCAAACATCTAACCATTGATTGATCACCAATTGACCAATGATAGTTCAAATGTTTGACTAATGACGGATTAACATCAAGGATAATCGAACAAAGTGGGTGTCCTTGCTTACGTCCTAGCTTGTCGCCGTTGGTGATAAATCTCCTAGTAACTTCACTTGTCATCTTGGTATTTTTCTCTCAAGCTAATCAGTGCTCCTAGATGAATACCTGACTCAAGGTCTCGAATAGTCCAAATCCTACCCGAGTATATCTGTACAATAACTGTGTCATGTTCTCCTTCAAATGACATCTAAATGATATCTATATTGAGAATTTTGATGTCTTCCTCCGGTTTCTCTTTATACACTCGCGTATTTTCAATCTTATGAATGACATCTAAACCTTGAATTGCCCTTCCGAAAATGGTATGTTTGTTGTCTAACCATGGCTATATGAAGAAAAAGAAGAATATTAATTAGTTTTTATTACGTCTTACGATCAATTGAAGATCTTGAGGACATGTTGTGAACTTACAGTCTTTTCCGTGGTAATGAAAAATTGACTACCGTTGGAGTTTGGTCCCGCATTCGCCATACTAACGGTATAAGGTTTGTCATGTCGGAGAGAACTGAATTCATCGGCAAACTCTTTGCCCCAAATACTTTCACCACCGGTACCATCTCCTAATGGATCTCCGCACTGGATCATGAATTTTCGAATGACACGGTGGAAGATGGTATTATTGTAGTAACCTTGTTTCGAATGTGTCACAAAATTCTCAACGGCTTTGGGGGCTGCATCGGGGAATAAGCGTATATGGATATCTCCGTATGTGGTGTGAATAACAGCTGCAGTTCCAGTCTCGGCGGCTTTTGCCTCTGCCAATTTCTTCCCATTTGTGTTGGTAGGTTTCTCATTTTGAACATCGCGTTCAGATTTGGAGACTTCTTCGTCATTCGTGAACATATAAAATCGCACTTTCCCAACTCCTGTCGCAAATAACATCGGATCCCGAAGTTCGGATTCCTGCAGAAGAGGATTGTTGGACGCTGCCATGGCAATCGTTGTGACACCTTTTTTCTGTGGTTGACCTTGGTACATTGCAATATTAAGAGGTCTGAAGTTCTCATCTCCTCCATAGACCTTCACGACTCGGTTCGTATAAGTGTTCAAAACCTTTGCGCCGAGTATTGATCCATATATTATGAAGTGTCCCGTCTCGTCAAATATAACATTAGCTTTATTTCGTAGAGTTGGCGTTTCAATTTCGCGTTCTGTAGCAAGTCGGCGGCCGAATTCTAGATCTTCTAACTTCTTCAATGATGTTCCTGCCTGTTGCATTTCCTCGATAACCTGCAGCGATTCATCGTAGGTACGATATAATTTTCCAGTTGGGAAGTCAAACACTCGAACTTTGCGATCGGGGAATGAGACAGTCGCGAACTGCGAGCCAGTTGGAGAAATTGTTAGAGAAGTGGGTGTTGATTTCGCCTTCTTAAATTCGAACAAACTAGTGGAAGACTTGTATTCGAAAACATTATCGGGCTTCTCGTAATTCCCTCCTGGTCGCCAGTATTCAATCATGCCATTCTCGTCTGCTGATATAACACAATTGTAAGCATCATTGTAGGCCATCAACGAGACAACACTTCGATGTAAGCCGGAAATCGTATGGATTGGTTCCTGATTCTCTCCACGACCATCGTATATCCGAATTGTATGGTTAACTTCGTCAGATACAGCTAACATTGGAAGAGATGCGCCACGTCCATGTACCCAGCAGACACATTTCGGTGTGAATTCTAAGGTTAGCATCGATAAGAGATCAAAGGTCATCACATCGAATATCTTGATTGTTTTATCCGCGCCAGCTGTCGCAAAGCTTCGTCCATCTGCACTGATCGAAACACTTTTGACCTCTCCAATGTGTGTTCTAAACTCCTTCACAAATTCGATACCGTCGCCTCCTTTCTTCCAAAATTTAACCACTCCATCGACGGAGCTTGTGATTAAGAAGTCCGTCAACGGAGTCATGGTAACGAACGAGATTTGCTCTTTGTGCATAAGAGACTTTGAATACCGTGCAGAGGTTGGTAGAGCTGAGATATAGAGCTTTTCGTAGGGAAGCTTGCGACGCTTCTTTTTGGGAGCTTCCGCAGATGGAAGTTGAGGTCCCATATCATCGTCGGACGAGGAGTCTTCATCTTCGACATCGAGCTTGCGTTTATTAGAATTGGAAGCTGTATCAGCCATGTTGATAAACTGAATATTGTAGACTGGTTAATTGAAGAATAAGTGGTGGTTGAAGGCCAATCAATTATGGATTCAAGAAATCAAGTTGACGTGAACGAAATAATATCACAAGGCTGAGCCCAGGATACACTAGCGTGTTTTGGTCGTGCAAGGCTGGATAGCCTCATCTAAGATTCTTGCAGCTACTCCACATAATAGACGTCATTGCTTTGAATCTACGATATATATTCATGGTAACAGCTACCGGTACATATTTTCTTATCACAACTACAAGACTCTCAAGAACTCAACAATCATGGGTTCTACTTCAGCAGCCAATAAACTCACCTCCCGTCATCCCCTTCAACGTCTTCCCTCTCCCTCTCCAACAATCTCCGCCCTCGTTCATCTCATCGGCCTTGCTTCCTTCTCTCTTTCTTATAAATATCTTTTTGACTTCCCAACATTCATCAACTCCTCATATGGCTGGCACTTCCAATACCTCACCATCATTGGTCTTACTCTAGCTTTTTTGACATTTGTCTTTGGCCTCCTCGCAGACATCACTCTTTCCTCAAGACTTTTCTTGATCAAGAATTCTCTTTCATTATGTTCTGCCCCTCTGGAAGTTTTGATCTCCGTGTTGTATTGGGGAATCTCGGCTATTGATAAGAAGCTTTTGGTGCCTCCCGAGATCCATATTAGTCCATATGCTGATATCGGGTTCCACGCTATGCCAGCGATCTTGTTGACTATTGATTTACTATTCTTGAGTCCGCCCTGGACCATCAATGCATTGCCTGCTATGGGACTTTCATCGACTCTGGCCGTTGCATATTGGGCTTGGGTGGAACAATGCTATAAGTATAATGGATTGTGAGTAGTCTATAGCTGAGCATTTTCATCTGACGAAAAATCGAATGCTAATATCGATGTTTAGTTACCCATACCCATTATTTGGACATCTTGATACCACACAGAGAGCAATTTTGTTCACCGGAGCTGCCTTGACGATGACTGGTAGTACAGCAGTGCTTAAATGGCTATATGGAAGAGTCAATGGTTTGCAGGGTGCTCAATATAGAAGCAGTCCCAACAACATTAAGGGGAAATAAACTTATCTCTATAGATATGATTTTTGATAGAAAGATAGACACTGATTTATGGATTTGGGTGGCTGCAATTTTTTGTACCTTTCATATATCTACCTAGTCCCTCAAGTTTAGAAGGTTTCTACAATTTGACCATGTTGATTGAGAAGGCTTCGTTATACATCTGATATGAGGTACAGTCAGCGATGCGGCACTCGTGTGGCTTGCTTAGCTAGCTGAAGTTTCATTCGCAATCTTCAATTTCTACTTCATTCATAGGCAGTACCATCACCAAAACTTGTTGCGCGGCTTTGCAAACCCCCTCATTCCTCGAAATGGGGGAATGGAAGTATCATCCAGATATATCCTCAATCACCTACGTACCACTACCTAGTAGATAATCATGCAACGCTGCGGGAGGCTTTTGGAAGTTTGGAACATATGAAAAATATGTTCCGCAGCAACTTCTTTCCGAACAAGTGTGTTCTTTACAATAAGATGTTATTTCCCTACGAAGAAAGTTCTATTTCTCAATCCATTCATTCTCAACATCCAAAACATCGAAATCGTCACTCTCGAATAGATAAGCCCCTCCAATCGATCAATCTCTCCAATGATTTCCTCTAGATCTCCTTTCCGTATTCATAGGCGCAGCGCAACTCATGAACTCGAACTTGCAATCATCAGTACATCTACTAAATACGAAAAGAAGCCAAACCTATATTCTATCATCGATAGCTAGACTCATCTAGATAACTCCATGTCTGATTCTAGAGAAGATCAAGGCAGATTATCTTTATCAAACCCTGGACGCATGAATAAAACTTATGGGGAGGTTGATAGGGTATATGATGAGAGTGAGAATGAGAGTGAGAATGAGAGTGAGAATGAGAGTGAGAATGAGAGTGAGAATGAGAGTGAGAATGAGAGTGAGAATGAGAGTGAGAATGAGAGTGAGAATGAGAGTGAGAATGAAAAAGATGTAGAGAAGTAGAGAATTATAGATGTAAAAATGCATTAACTATACCTAAATTCTGAATGTTCACAAAATTTTCAACCCGAAAGCAGGTATTCATAACAATGTCTTCTCTTCTCATCTCTTCTCATCTATCTCTCAAGCAGTCACTACCTAGGTATCTCCATCAAATCAAACCCATCAATCATATCATAGGTTTCCCACATCGAATGGAATAGGTATCGAGAAACAGACAGATTGTTTACTTGAAGATAGGAATTTATATATATATATATATATATATATATATATATGAAAAAGAGGAAATACACAATGAAATCACACTCTGCATCACCATCCAATTCTCCATCCATCACTAATTTCCTCCCTCTCAGGCCTCCCCAGATCTCGCTGTATATACCTACTGGTACCTAGTTAATCTCCCTCTTGAATCTCAAATCTTAATTCATAGATATCTAAAAACGAGAATCCAAAATTGTGTGAAATTATAAAGTTGAGTGGAGATTACAGATTACAGATTATCTAGGTATCTCCAGCTTCTTTCATAATCCATAACATCTACCTAGTCTTTCCCATCCCATTCTATCCCATCCCATTCTATCCAATATCTCAAAACAAAAACGAATATCCTCCAGCTACCTATACAAACACTATTCATTCATTCATTCATTTATTTCTATTTCTATCTCTATCTCTATCTCCATCTCCATCTCTATTTTTATCTCTATCTCCATCTCTATCTCTATTTCTATTTTTATCTTTATCTCTATCTCTATCTCTATTTTTATTTTTATCTCTATTTTTATCTCTATTTCTATCTCTATTTCTATTTTTATTTTTATTTTTATCTCTATCTCTATCTCCATCTCCATCTCCATCTCCATCTCCATCTCCATCTCCATCTCCATCTCCCACATATTTCTTCCCAATCCCCCCAAATTTCCACATCCCAATCCACATCCCAATCCACAACCCTACCCACCAATTACCAACTACCAACCAATCCCACTCATCTATATTCCGCACGCTCAATATCAAGCCTCACTCTCTCTCTCATCCCATCCCAAATAATCAACAAATCCCTTCCTCCCTGAAACACAACCCCAACCCCAACCCCAACCCCAACCCCATAATTTCCCCAGAAACTCACCTCCCTCCCCCTCTCCCTCTCCCTCTCCCTCTTTCTTACCATGCACCTGTACTCGACCCACAACACAACTTGAAAGTTAAAACACAACTTAAACGTTAAATTTTAACACTAAACAACAGTCTATATCCATATCCATATCCACATCCGCTTTTTACCACATATACTCACTCCTCAATTTCCTTCCCCTCCCCCTCCTACTCCCCCCTTTCCCTGTTTCCCATACCTCCGCCGCTCTCACCAACATAACAATAGCAAATCTTTCCAGAAACAAAAATCCCCATCAACTTTTCACCTCGACTATCTCGCGTCAACCCTCACTATTAACAATCATCTATTATTACCCGTGGGCACGTTATGAATCTGTAAATGGGGAATATAGCGAGAGACCGTATTTTCAGGAGATAGCGTCAAGGCCCAACAATAGGTAGATGAATATTCATACATGCATAGCACCAACATAACAGAGAAATTGCAAATCAAATCAGATCAGATCAACAAGATCAATCAACGCTCGAAATTATCATGTCTATCTACCAATCCTTTGCTCATTAATCCTTTCCATCTTTCCCATTTTCCTCAATTCCCATGCTCGCTTTTCCATATAAACAATCAACCAGTGATTTATCGCTTACCGTATCGTCATACGTAACCTCCAGTCCCATGCCTCATTAACATTTTCCACTTCCGTATTCTTCTTTCGATTTTGACATTTCAATCACCTATTTCGATAATTGAGAAACGTCATATTGTGCAGCATCATGATACAAATCGATCAAACAACCTGCACTCCAAGCTTGTGTTGGAGACTACCATAAAATTAGCACAGATCATCTAAACAAATATAGGAAACAACATACCGAATCAGGACAATAAGCTCCATCTTTTTGTGTCAATTCCGTCAAACCAGCCCAATCACTATTAACAATAGCTTCTTTACAGCCCGCCAATCTTCTCGTGATTTGTTGGAAAGCTTCCGTCTTAGCCGCTGGAGTCTTTCTTCTCTTGAGGTCGAATTTCAACAAAGCTCTTAAGAAGAAACCAGTTGGCCATAACCATTCTGGACCTTGGTGATAGTTTCTTCCTTTTGAAGTTGAGAAATCTTCACTATCTTCGGAGTTGATGTAGTATGGTCGATAATTAAGATCAGCTGGATCAAGAGTTGCCATACCAGTAGGTCCACGAAGTACTTTATCCGCCAGAAATAAGGCATTCAGAGCATGAGCATCGTCAAAGAGGTCTGGGGCAACCGTCATGGCAATTGGGAAATTTGATCGTAGTTGATAATCTTCGTACTCTTTGCCAGATTTGTACAGATCCTTGTAAATACCTCTTCGGTTGACAATAGGAGTATTCACATCATACTTGGAGTCATCTTTAGCGTCCAATGGAACATAGTAACAACGTTCAAAGTTCTCTTTGATCTTATCGGCCCAGTCTGAGAAAGTGATGACTTGCATGTTTGGATCTGAAGTGCTGACGCCAGCATACTTGTACTTGCCTTTCTCGTGAAGTTCGGCTACCCAGCGAAGAGTACTGTATAAGAGACCAGTGATTTCAATAGCAGCTCCATCACGAGGTGTACCAGGAACTCCTTTGCTCTTGGCTTTTTCACTCTCTCCCATCTTGTCCATCCAAGTACCACAGTTGTGTTGGTTACCACCGAATATCAGACCAGTTGACCAATCAACTTTAATGTCAATGTTAAATCCCTCGGAACTCATTTGCATGTCGAGGTTTGGACCGGCATTTGCTTCTCTGAATGACATTCCGGATGCATGTCGTTGCAAAGATTCCTGAATAATATCCTCCAAGACTGATGTCTTTGAGTATGCTCTTGGATCATCGGAATCAAAGTAGGTATCATCGTAAGGTAAAAATCGTCGAGGGACCTTCTCTTTCAGAAGATCCAATCCATTTGGTACAATGTTGGTATAGTCTTGAATGGTTTGTAACATGAACCAAATTGAATCTCGAGAGTTGTAACGTGGCAAGTTTCCACTGCTCAACAAGTTAGGTATCATACCATGCTTCAAGACACTTGAGAATGCGAGAATATGTTCTCTTGCTTCAGCATAGCGACCTGTACCAAGGAAGAGACCTCTTGCAGAGATGAATACATCCCTACCCCAACATCTCGCCCACTCGACTGCAAAATGCGGCAAGCCAGCTGCTAAAGAAGGTACTGCCTTCTTGGGGTACAAAGATGCAGAATTGACATATCCAGTCTGTTGAACGCTAACCATAGCTAAATCTTGTAAGAACCACTGTCCCTCACGGACATTCTCATTCATCAATGCCAAACTTCGCTCCCAGGCAGCTCGGTAAGCAGTTCGAATGACTAGACCAAAATAACGGGGAAGTAAAAAGCTTGGCATTTTTCGAATTGCATCGAAACGTTCCTTCAACCAAGCCGTTGGCTTTTGTAGTCGTTCATAACCGGACCTGTTTGACATTTTCTCCAATCTACCGATGATATAGTCAAGTGCCCATTGTCCTTCTCTCAAGTGGTTGCACATGGGATGTCCCAAGTTATTGTCTTTGATGATATTCTTGAGTACACTCCACCAACCTTGTAAACCAGCATATACGAGTTTACCGTGGCCAGGAATGTCGTATACTCCATCTTTACCCTCACTAGCATCGAGCTCTTCCGCCTCACATTTATAAAGGACGACGTTCAAATCAACCAAGTCCAATTCGGAAAATGCCGCCTTTGCTCCCGAGGTAACAAATGTATCGAGACCAGTCGCATGCTCAGCAGCAGGTATCCAAGTCTCAAATAATGCAATACTTCCAGGAGGAAATTTGTCTCGTACGGAAATTGTTGTTTCTCCATCTTTGTATTCCATACGGACTCCAGGAAGATTAGAAACTTTGCTAGGTAATCCTCTTAGATACTTCTTGTCTCCTAATGCCTCCTTCTTTGCCTCTTCAGAAGTGTCAACTTCCAGCATCCAGCTGCCAAGATGGCTCGCCTTAGTGCCCCCAAGATGAACTGGGTTGAAACCTCCATTTCCGTTGCCGTAACCAGGGAAAGCAGTATGTGCGATAAGGAAGTACCCCTTTCTAGATTCGGGATGCACTCGATGAACAGTAATATACTGATCTTCGTGGTGAATGTATGTTTCTGCGTACCCATCCTTGCCCATAATACTATGGATTTGATTGAGAAGTTTCTTAACACCACCGATGCCACCTTCGCCAGCTCCAATCTTGACTTCCTTTTCGGAAGAAGCAGAAGTGTACAATCTCGTTTCATGAACGATTTCGACTAGCTTGGGATAAATTTCATCGTAGCCCATGACGCTACCAATGGCACTTGAACACATGGCAACCAATGCAGCATTTGGTAAAGTGTCCCGAGCATCACGCTTTTGAGCTGGAACTTCGTTGTCATGGGTACAATCCATAAAGAGAGCATGAACTGGAGTATATCTGATGGTGCGAATGATTTCTTTGCCGGGTGTCGATCCATTGGATCTACCATGGGGTGTCTTCTGTTCTGCACCTGATACTTCGTCGACCTCAAAGCTACCAATAGGTCTACCGCCATGTCGATGAACAAGACGACTGACTTCGCCAGTACTCCAAGCCTGCATTGCTTCTCTGATGAGTGAACTTAGACCAAGACGTTTGACGAAAACGTAGTCCATTTCTTCTGACCCGGTGAAGAGTTCAGCAACTACATAAAGATTTGGTCTAATTCTTCTTGCCTCGTCTAGAAGAAATTCAGCTACATGAATAGGTGTAGAGTGTGCATTATCGATACGGAAACCGGTGAAATAGTTTGCCATGAGACGTGTGTATTTCGCCATAAAGTCCCACAAGAAGGGACTGTCTTCGCGAGATTCTCCATAACGCAACTTTACACAGTCACCCCAGACAATAACTTCACGGCGCAAATACGCACGAGATTTGGGACCGGCATTGTCAATAAGTGCATTTGCAGCCCAAATCCAACCATTGTTTGCCAAAGCAAGGTCTTCTTGGTTGTGCTTAGAGGTAGTAGAATTCTTGGGTAATCTGGTGAAGTAGGTTTCAATGAGAGGATTTTTGTCGTCAATTGGACCGAGTTTTGGGCCATTATCGTCAAGACGGACATATTTGGTGCGGTTGAACAGCTGGTCGAGAATCTCAGCAACATCAACATCGTATTCTTTGTAGTATGGAAGGTTGACTTCGTCCAAGATGCTAGTCAAACGGCTTCGAGCTTCAGCACGATCGGCACCATTCGACTTATCGCCTTCGAATCTTCCAAACAAGGCTGTGAGCAGTGCTGCACCAACTTCTGGGTTGATCTTTCTTCTGTATCTTTCCCCAAGTCTGTCTGTGTTGAGCATTCCTTTTTCTCTCAAGAATGTTGCCTGTTCCGCAACCGAGGCATTCTTGATAGCTTCTAAACCACCAAAACCAGATCCACCGAATCCACCCTCGGGGAATGAAATCTTGTTAGCTGCCCAAGCCTCTACTACTGCATCGGCATCTCTCTCGATCTCGATAACATAGTATTCCCATAGACGGAGTTTGGCAATGACTTCGGTTTTAACGCCTGCCATGACTTTGACCAGATCATCAACAGAGTTGAGTGTAGTTGGGAGATCAAGCTTGGCAAGATCTTTACTAAATTCTAGCAATTTAGTATCCAACTCTAAAGCCGAACGCAACCATGGTGCTGTTGACACGTTGTAGCCAACTTCTGGATGCTCCTCAAGCCATGCGCTATTGTTCGCAGTGTGGTTCCAGACCACATCGGTCAATCCCAAAAGACCATGATTGTCTTCCATGCTCTTGACCAGTTTTTTGATGTCTTTTTCGCCATTAGGGAAGCACTCAGGGTCCCATGAGCATTGATCATATATACTGTATGGAGAATTTGATTCACCACGCTTTTGCAAGGGGGTAAAATGAACCATGTTGTAACCTCTCTCACTGATCCCCCGGAGATGCTTTTCCCAATCCTTGGGGTACTTTCCCATGAATTTTGAAATGACAGAGAAGACTGACAATGCAGGCAAAGGCAACTGCCTGCCTTCCAGCTTCAAAGTTGGAGCAACATCAATGTAGTATACTGGGGATTTGGTGGTTTCGATGGGAGCGGTATTTGTATCATCCAAGTCCGGCAGAGCTTTATATGTGGTGTAAAATGCGAATGCGCCAGCTGAATGAATGGGTATCGAGATTTCAATGGTACGATTAAAGTCTGGTTCCAACCTATACAGTCAGTTCTTGCAATACATGGAGATTCACAGGCAAAAACTCACTTGAATTCACGGAACTGGTCTCGTTGAAACTCCACACCTTCCTCGGGAATGTTCACCCAAAGACTGCCTTCTCGACATATCGAAGATGTTCCCTCAATAGCAAAACGGACAGTTATTGGCTCTGTGCCTTTAGGTGTCAGATAGATATATCCTCCAGATACATCGGGACTCCCATCATCCTTGAGAGGGAGTAGATAGATTTCGTTGGAAACCATCGTCTTTGGCGCTGCAGATTTGGCGAACCAACAACGTTAAATATTATTGAAAGCGATTATTGTGAGAGAACTGGGTTGCAGAAGGGATCGGCACAAATCAAAAAGACGACACAGGCTTTGAAAAGGTGAGGATGGAGAGAAGAATATGAAGCACAAAAAATAAACGACAGAGACGGAGCAAACGATGGGGGATGGAGTTGAGGTGTACTTTTAAGAAAAACTCATAGGAAAGTGCATTAGTTTTAATTAAGTGGTATAGGTAGCTTCCAAGTGTTTGCTGATGGTTTGATAGAGGTAGGTTGGAAGCGGGGCCCCTTTGGAGTTGGTGGGTTGGTGGGCTGGGTGGGCAGACGAACATATGGGACAATGGTGGGAGAGTGGGCGCGGGTAAGATGCTGGTCGAACCAGAGGAAAGACCCGGCTTGTTAGCAAACATACTAGGGAATCGATTGGTTGTGCGGCGTTTGCAATGCTTTAGGATGGAAAAACTGAATGTGATACGTCATGATAAAAATAATACCCAGCAAGTGACAATCAGGTACAATGATGGATTTCTTACATTTGCTCAAACCAAAATTGGTACGCGGCGGCAAGGTTGTATTGGGACTGATGGACCGGTATGGTGGTCTAGACCATTGATTGTTCTTTGCTCCGAGTATCTACGAGGGAGGGAGCGACGAGTTTCTTTCCGTAAGCTTCAAGCTTGAATGGCATTTGATATAAGCTTTGGAAATGATATTGATGAAGAAAAGGTATACGAGGAGGGGTTGAGTTGGAGGGATACTTTGTGTGTTAGACTTACTAGGTACTTTCAAGTACTACTTTATATCTATTCTCAAGTACTACCTCGAATATTAATTACACTTACTTCCAAATACTACTTTATATAGATACTATATCGATTTTCGAGCATTACTCTATATACCATATCTACTTCCAAATACTACTCTAAATATTTATCTACCTTCAAGTATTACTTTGTATATTATACTATATTTAGTAGATCCTATCAAGTACTACTTTATATACTATATCTATTCTTAAGTACTACCTCGAATATTACCTAGTAATTACACTTATTTCCAAATACTACTTTATATAGGTACTATATCGATTTTCAAGTATTACTCTATATACCATATCTGCTTTCAAGTATTACTCTAAATATTTCCTACCTTTAAGTATTACTTTGTGTATTATACTATTGAGTAGGTCCTATCAAGTACTACTTTATATACTATATCTATTCTCAAGTACTACCTTGAATATTATAGCTATCTAGTATCTTCAAGTATTACTCTATATACTATATCTGCTTTCAAGTACTACTCTAAATATTTCCTATCTTTAAGTATTACTTTGTATATTATATTATATTTAGTAGATCCTATTAAGCACTATTTTATATATTATATCTATTCTCAAGTATTATCTTGAATATTATAGCTATCTAATACCTTCAAGTATTACTCTATATATTATATTTACTCCGTATACTACTTTATATAATATATCTGCTTCCAAATGCTACTCTGTATACTATATCTACTTTCAAGTACTACTTTATCCTCCGCCCACCTAGCTGTTAGACTTGAAAATAGTCAAAAAATTAACTTCCTTCACACCATCGTTCGGTTGTCGGGTATCTCCCTCCCTTAACCTAGGTAGATATACGGACGGCTAGGCCAGGGGTTCAGGGGCTGCTAAAATCATAATAAACTTCACTTTTTTTTGATCTCGAAGTAAAAGTTAAAAAAGTTGTCAACTACCAGAGTCATGAATAATAACAATCCCCATACCAACAATATGTGTAAGTACCTACATCACAATAAAAAGTTTCATATTGTCTTCTCCACCTACCACTCCAAATCCAAATCCAACTCCAGCACCAGCACCAATCAGCACATAAACCTCGACATGAAAAGATAGAGAGATCCCACAATCACGAATGCAATTCTCATGCTCAAGTTGAGCTACTCATGTTGTGTTCATACATTCATCCAATGTTCACTCAACTGAATATTACCAGCAAGTCATTTGTCACTTTCTGGACGTCCACAGCATTTGCATCCATAACTTCCATGGCGCTTATTGGATCCCGCTGTCGTTTGGGTACTCGTACAGCGTGAAAACAGCTTCCCATGGGATTTGGAAAAAGCCACAATAGTGATAAGAATACACTAAACCAATTTCGAAAGCGGTCAGCTGCCCCCTGCTTCAATCACGAGCAATTCACAAGCTATCACAAGTGACAGAAGAGCAAGCGAGGCTTTTTTGTCTCAACATTCTGTCTGGTATCTCAAAGTCTCAAAGTACTTGGTATTTTGCCTCCCTTTGCGTGTCCTGATTATCCTTCCTATTAATCCCCCCTTTCACGTCATAGCATATGTGCATGCTTATAAGATTTACAGCAGCATCAAATCAAACTCTTCGAAGAATAGCACAGACAGCTCGACATCTCAATACCCCTCAAGTGAACAAAATGGCGACCTTGGGAGCATGGAGTAGAAAGCATAAGGTGACGGTGGTTGGATCCGGTAACTGGTAAGTCACTATTAAATCAAAACCAAGAGATCGATCATTTTATTGATATCTGCTAGGGGCTGTACCATTGCAAAGATTGTAGCAGAGAATACAAAACAACATTCCGATTTATTCGAGGAGGAGGTTCAGATGTGGGTTTATGAGGAGGAAGTTACCATACCAAAAGACTCGAAACACTACGATGCCTCCAATGATTCTCCTCAAAAGCTTACTTCGATCATCAACAAATACCACGAGAATGTGAAATATCTGCCAAATATCCAGCTTCCAGCCAATCTCATCGCCAACCCATCTGTAGAAGATGCAGTTGCGAACTCCTCGGTTTTGATTTTCAATCTTCCTCATCAATTTATCGGTCGTATCACAAAGCAACTCCAAGGACACATCCTACCATTCGCGCGTGGAATTTCTTGTATAAAAGGTGTGAATGTAACTGCCTCAGAGATCAGTCTTTTCAGTGAATGGATCGGTGAAGGATTAGGAATATACTGTGGAGCACTCTCAGGTGCTAACATTGCCAATGAGATTGCAATGGAGAAATGGTGTGAGACTACGATTGCCTATGATCCTCCTTCAATGGACTCGCGTGCCACGACTCCAACGGGACCCTCACCTTCAAGCTCTCAAGTCAACCTCACCATTACGCCCGCAGATGAAGAACATAAAGATGTCAAGGGAAGAGTCAGCAAGACAAAGTTGAAGGCCGTACCATCGGAATATCCGCCAATGGATCATGCCTTATTCAAGACATTATTCCATCGTCCATATTTCCATGTTCAGATGGTTTCCGATGTAGCAGGTGTCTCTCTTGGCGGAGCTCTCAAGAACATCGTTGCACTAGCTGCGGGTTTCGTTGAAGGACGTGGTTGGGGAGATAATGCAAAGGCGGCTGTTATGCGAGTGGGCCTCCTTGAGATGGTCAAATTCGGCAAGGAATTCTTTGGAGAGACTGTTCATGGTGGTACTTTCACCGAACAAAGTGCTGGCGTTGCCGATTTAATTACAAGTTGCAGTGGAGGGCGAAACTTTAGATGTGCGAAGATGGCAATTGAAAGAGGAGTTACAGTCGATGAAGTTGAGAAGACGGAATTGAATGGACAAAAGTTGCAAGGAACCAGTACTGCAAAAGAAGTCAATGAGTTTTTGAAGTCTAGAGGAAAGGAGGGCGAATACCCATTATTTACTGCTGTCATTAGTAAGTCATTGAGTCTACCTCTACTTGCAAAGATTTCGCATACTAACAAGATCAGATATTTTAGAGGGCAGAAACACCGTTGATGATATCCCGGATTTGTTGGCCAAGTCGGATGAGTGAGAATTACAATAGCAATACATGGGATGGGCTTACGGTAAAGACTAGATAGAAGACGCAAGTCTTTGAGTAGAAGGTTAGAGCAATATTATGGCTTACATCAATTCTCTTTTCCTATTCTTCCTCGGAGATCAATCTTTAAGGTCCGTAAGATTGTCTCCGGACCGACAATTTAAACTTATTTCTCGGAGATCTTCCCTCGGAGATCTGTAATAGCCATGCTCACTGTGCGACGAGGTTCTGATTCCTCTGAAGATTTTGGTTCACCGTTTCGTGGGTTCTAGACCAATCAACGATCCACGTTAATAATCGCAGGGGCTGACCCCACCAATGACATCGCTAAAACTTTTGTTGCGCGATGAATCATACGTCCACCAGGTCTCGAGCTTCTCAATGATTGCCCCGCGTACTCCGTACAGATTTCCAGAACCATTAATTCTACCTCTCAAAGAAAAATAATCTCACCTCAGCATACTCATTGAATATAAAAATCTATCCGTTGAAGGAAAGTATCTTGACAAAATATAAAAGACACAGATTTATCTAAAGATGTCGGTAAGTTACCAAACAAACACTCTTCTCATTCATTCAAGATGCCTCATTTCACAAGAAACCACTCTGACTCATTGAAGGCCTTCTACATAGAAAATCAGAACGTTGGACATAAGGACAGTACTGAAGATTGGCGCAGTGAGTACTGGATATTCCCATTGATTGCTTCAGCTTGTATTAGAGAGTGCGACTGACAAAGCTTCCCTACAGTTCGAGGATACAACCCATTGACGCCTCCCGATTTGCTTCAACATGAAATTCCTCAAACCCCAGAATCCAAAGCAACCGTCTTAAAGGGTCGCAATGAGTCCGTCGATGTTGTCACTGGTGCAGATAAGAATGGCAGATTACTGGTAGTCATTGGTCCATGTTCAATTCACGATCCTGCGGCCGCGCTCGAATACTGCGACAAGCTCGTAGCTCTCAAGAACAAATACGAAGATGATCTTTTGATTGTCATGCGCTCTTACCTTGAGAAACCAAGAACAACTGTTGGCTGGAAAGGACTCATCAATGATCCTGATATCGATAATAGCTTCAAGATCAATAAGGGGTTGAGGATCAGCAGACAATTGTTCGTGGACTTGACGGC